AGGTTGGAAAAAAACTCTCAGTTAATCAAAGCAAAGCTGAGGAAGTTTGATGTTCTCTGGCAATAAATTTGACTGTCTATCACATCAGGGTCTGAACCTGCCGGGTCTCTGGATGCACTGGTCACCTCTCTCTCTCTCCCACACACACAAACACACACACACAAACTTCACCAGTGTGTGTTACACATGATTTTAGCATGATTTAAAGCATGACCGAGAGGGGACTGAAAAAATGTCCCCTGTTTGCTATGCGGTCCCCTCTTGACGAAAGTGTAACGACGCTAAGTTCCCCTCTTGGATAGGTAGGAAAGTGCACACACACACACACACACACACACACACACACACACACACACACACACACACACACACACACAATGAAGCTGATAACCATGCCCTTATGTGCCTGTGTCGGTGCAACTCACATCTCTGAATCGGTTCCAGGATCTGTCCTTGTTGTACTGAGACACGGTGCCCAGCCATTTATCGTTACTGTTCCCGGAGACAGTCGTTTCTCCGCTCAGCAAGAGAGCCACGACCGGCAGCAGTAAGAAGAACATCTTCTACAAGCGAAGACAGAGAAGAAAAAACACAATTCAGAGTGAGGTGGATGTAGAAAAGTGATTTGAGAGCACAAGCAAGTGAGGATATTTACTTTACAGAACAAGTAAATCTGCTATTGTGACGCACAATGGGTCAGAATGTGAAAAAGACGCAAAACGGACTTATTTTTTGAGATTGAAAGAGGGATAGGGCGCTCGTTTTATCCAAGTAATCGGATTATAAACATTGGAGAGTTGTCATCGCGGCAGATGGGGCACCGCGAAAACGATTAGCCCGCGAGCGTCCCCACCGCTAATTTAAAAAGCAATTAGCGGCGTCAACACAATTGCCGCCCCCACTGAGCTTTGTCTCAGCTTTCGTTTGCTCCCTCCATCATCTCCATCGCTGAGAAAGTGAAGAAAACGCGGACCGACGCACTTTTATTTACAGTTTATTGTTTCCTCTGACAGAAAAAAAAGCAACACTCGCTGGTGGTTCACCTACCTGAGAGAGTTTGTTGGTGTCCAGTTCCGATTCCCGGGGGAAAATAAGTCCACAGCCCCGGGTACTCCTCCGGTGGCACCCGACTGCTTGTAGGATTGACGGCTAAAAGAGGGGGAGCTGCGAGCGAGCACGAGCGGACCGGCAGCTTTCTCCTCCTCCTCCTCCTCGGTCACCAGACACCGCCTCTCTCTCTCTCTCTCTCTCTCTCTCTCTCACCGTGTCATTGATTTCCAGCAGGGGGAGGAGGGTGTGTGTTTGTGTGTGTGTGTGTTTTTTCTTCTTATGCTCACACACCAGAGACCAGGCGGGATACGGGCGCCGTGTCAAACCGCTGTTCCGGATGTACAAACACAAATTTCATTTTAGTCACGCGTCTCTGTAGAGGAATCCGAGCTCGTGTCCACCATAATAAATACAATTTAGACGCATGATGCAGAAAATGAGCGCTGTACTCTTTTCTGATTGGGCAGTTCAGCTCAGCACCATGGACAGAGTCAGACCACAGTTGGCTCTTCTTCTTTATGGTTACAACCAAGAGCATAAATGGGCCACATAACTAGGACGTCCAATTGAAGGGGAGAATAACGATAAGTTTAAATATTTTATCAGTGACTTTGCTCTATCCCTCCGTGGGGTTTATTCACTTTGCCAACACGCGTTATGTGCGCCTGGTTGTGTGAGGTTCAGCAAAAAGATTATTTAGAGAAAGTTTTTGGACTAAATTGAGAACTCTTACTCTTCTGATTCAGTCAAACTCTGTTTGATAGTTCAGTTTTTGGTGAAGAGGAAGAGCATCGTTCAGTTTCTTATCTACCTCAGTTTCTCATAATGGTTTTCTTATCAAACAACTCTCTTTTCCCATTGTTTGCAGAGTTGGGGAGTATTACCAGGATTTATTTAGCTGCTAACAGAAGTTGAAAAGGAAATATTTCTTTTTCAGCTCATTCCCCTATTGCAAAACTCACCGGGCTCCCCTTCTGCCAAATAAACATTGCATCGTATATTCATAAGGCTATATCTTACTTTGCCGGTTTAATGAGACTGGATTAATGTGTCACCTCAAGTTCAGTGTTAAGCACAGGACTATTTTCCACCAAAGAACCAAAGACTTTAGATTTTAGACCTGCTGTAAGTTTTCTTTTTATTTCCCGGTCCAGAGTTTGGCTCATTAAAAATAAAACAGGATAGACACACAAGTTACCGCACTGGTTTTGTGAGTATTTGTTCAGTGTTTTCCCAAAATGCTTTTTTTTTTTTTTTTTCAAAAACAGTTTTAGTGTAGCCTTGTGTTTTGGTGTCTCTGTGTTTTTGCTCTGCCTTCAAAAACAGTGAGGGGAGTTTTGTCGCAGCAAGTCTGAGAGGTGGATTATAACTGGGCTCTGCAGGTAGAGGAGCTGACCAAGGTGCTGAAATACAACAATGCTTATGGATGGAAAAGGCTAAGATACATTTACATAATAGCATTATTAATCGATAGATAGATAGATAGATAGATAGATAGATAGATAGATAGATAGATAGATAGATAGATAGATAGATAGATAGATGTGATTAGTAATGGCAGTAATTCTTTGTACTATCATCTTCCTAGACTGCGATAAGAGACAAAAGATATTGTGCCCCAAGGCCACTTGTGGAAAGCATCTTGATGAGTATAATACAAATGTAGTTATGGAGAGGATTACCTCCTCCTGCTAGACAAGCTAACCATGAAACTAGTTAACCACACGATGGTTGATACATTCAAATGCCATTGGAAGTTCACAGTCTAATGATTGATTCAGTCAAAAGTATTACAATAAACATGATAGAAAAAAAATACTTAGTGCTAACTGTAGGGCTCGTCGATAAAATGATAATGGTATGTATCAAAAATTAATTTCTCTCAATATCAATATAAAACATGGTCAATATGCTTTTCGATAGCTGGCATTCTGCCATGTTTTGGTAGACTATACGAATAGCCAATGAAAGGGGGAGTTGCTCCGAGTCCACTTACGCTGAACCAATCATGTGCTGAATTAGAACCAAGTAGCAAACAACTGCGTAGTAGCAGGCTGCAGCTACCAACCATAACACTTAAACAAATGAAGCCGACAGCACTGTCAGTAAGAAAAAAAGAAAATGAGTGCTACCCCCCGGCAGAACTGCAGATGAAGGCTCAACAGATGATGAGATCATCGACAACACTGACACGAAAACGACGGTGGTGTGGAGGTATTTTGGTTATTCAAGGTCGGACATGAAGCAGAGTAACGTGCACTGCAAGTTATGTCAAGTACATGTTCTCGCAAAGTCGGGGAATACCTCAAATCTTTTTCACCACCTGAAGCAGTGCTACATGGCAGAGCACGGGCAATGCAAGAGGTTACAAACCCCAAGCGGAGCAAGGAGCCCATGTCGCCTGTGCAGCCGACACAGCCAACCATTCAGTTGGCTTTATCGAGCGCAACACCTTGCGACAAAACGTCAAAGAGACACAAAGACCTCACAGATGCAGTAGCTTATTGTATTGCAAAAGACATGCTACCAATAAGCACTGTTAAATTAAATTTTTTATATTGTTATACGTCGATATAAACTATAAATCGTGATAAACTTTTTCCCATATCACCCAGCCCCAGCTTACTGTATTCAAGACAGTCATAAGTGCTTTTGCCCCCCCCCAAAAAAAAGTGCTGTCCTGCAGAGAGAGATTGCAAACAGAGTAATACTGAAAGAGTATGCAACTGTTTTTAAACCCTCCAGCCTTCCTCTTCCAGTTATTACAACACTTCATCAGACTTAAAAAAAAAAGACAAAAAAGGCAACAACAAAAAAAACCCTGCAAACATTAAAGTTACATTACAAAGTTGGAGCGTGTGCCAGTTTGTGTTTAGATGATTTTATTAGGATAGTTGCTTACATTAAAGTTTAATGTTAAGTTCTACTTTAGGTTTCGAGGCACTTTCACACTATAAGACATGCTTTGAACAGCATGCTGCAATGCTAGGGAGAGACTCTGATTTACTTTTTAAAGTTGGAAAATGATCAAAACGACCTTTTTTATGCACTGGGGATCAGTCATAACATGTGATTAACGTCTAACATACATTAAATCTCTTTTTTCATAACCACTGACATTGTAATTTCTATATCAGAACTGACAAACAACAGGAAATACAACTTCAGAAGTTGAGGGATTGGCTTTTGTGGGTTTAATTACATTTGCAAATGGCACCAGAGTGCTCAGGCTGATTATACACCACATCTTTCTAGAGTTAGCCTATTAGTTACCAACCTGACACCACAACTACACCCGTTAGGATTATATCACATCTTCTCTGGCATTTCCTTCTATGTCCAGTCTTCAAAAAGTAGACTCTTTACCAATGTCCATGTCGGCCACTTCTACAAATGTCACAGAGACTCAGATAGCACTCAAGAATGTACAAATCAGTTGTGGTATGTACTCTACCTCTGTCTAGGATGATGTTTTGTGTATTGCTGTCTGATGATAATAAGTATATCCTCTTTAAAAATATGTTTCTCACTTCATGCTGTCAAGCACTGTATGAGGGGTTAAATGGGAAAGTCCAATAAGCAGCTTATGGGCTGAATGGTTATGAGACACTTGATTTTGACATTTAGAAGCTCTTACTGAGCATTCATATGCAGTATATGTTAACAGTTATCTGGCCTGTGTTTAATGGCAGCCCTGACATTTACTGTGAATCTGGGGAAAGCTGAGACAAGTCTTTGAAATGACACAGAGTATTTGCCCATCAGCTTTTACCTAAATGGCTTATTTACTCTAGAATTTACATTTAGTCTTTAGTCAGGATCTGAGGAAGTGTCAGTTTTTGGGAGAAATCTTGAATGTAAACTCTACCCCTCCCAACCAGTTTTCCCCTCAGCTCCTCCACTCCCCTCCCTCTCTGCTCCAGCAAGCCCCGCCCACAAACAGACACTCTTGCTCGCTCGTATCGTTCCAACTGAATTCAGGTATAATGCAGATAAATACTTCACATAATTACAAATGGGGCCCAGTCAATGTGAAAGTAAAAAGCATTGGTGTTACTGTAGATGCCAACAGACTGCCAGCAAACACAATGTTTGTAGGACTTCTACAACTAGGATAAGATGACATACTCAAGGACCTGAGGTAAACAGTTTAGCGGTGCTACAACACGCAGCAGGTCCCGTTTGACAAGAAACACTTCTGTTACAAACACTTTGCTTACTTTGTTAAAGCGGTTTACCTGTCCAGCAGAAAGGTTACAGAGTCCGTAAGATCCCGAAGCATTTATGCTTCAATGATGATTCCGCCAGAGTCTCCAGTATTTACTTCATTTTCTTGCTTGTGTTGGCAGTCCTGGCCAAAGGAGGATTCAGACAATTTTATGTACTTTCTGGTTGGTTTCTACTGTCCGATACAGTAGCACGCTAACTTTGTTTAGGCTCGTGAACGACACGGAGGGTCAAGCGTCTGCCTCACAACCAATCAGGTCAGGGGAGGCGGAGAATCGCTTTGTTTATAGTCAGAAAAAGCGGGCCGCTCAAAAAATTAAAAATGTTGACTACACTGACATAACAAAACACAACGATACCATTACATTACCAAATGTCATCAATAACTAATAACTATAGACTGATATTAAAAGCTTTTTGTATATACTCCACAAAAAAAGATGCTTCTTTAATGGGATCCTGCCCACTCCACCTTCAACAGGAGTTGTAGTTTTAGAAATCGTTTGTGACTTCAGAGTTTGTATAATTTTAGTTTTCCAAAGTTTGCGTTTGTATACATCCTAAATAATGTTGTTCAGCCCACTAACAAGCCTCTGTTTTTGATGAGCTCCCAAAATGTTTTTATACTTTTCTATTAAACAGGCAGTACTGATGATAAATGTGCAAAATTTTTACCTTTTTTCATTGTTATTATGTTGCTTTATCAGCTCAACCAGAGGCTCACCACACTCTGAGTTCAAAGGATCTAATTCGGTCTCGCTTTCTCCTGATTTCCTCTCCCAGTTTGTCTCTAAATCCCAGCATTCACTTGGGGGGGAAGATGAAGGATAAGAGCAGCTGTAGGGGATCCAATTTTGAATAATGAAGATCAAAATATATGAAACATCACATGAGGGAAGCAGCGTCCCAGCAGTAAACTAAACGTCACACATGCCCCCACATTGCAGTTGCAGATGGTAAAAGCAAAAAACGAGAGGGAGGTAGAGAAGGAGAGAAGGAGAGAGAGAGAGGGAAACAAGAGTGATGAAACAAGATTACAATTTTGGTTGTGTGTGAGTGTGTGTTAGTACGGCAGAGAACTGTGCCAGAGATGTTTGAGCAGTGGGGTGTGATAGAGCCTTTCTTAATGAGCTGTGTGTCTGTTACTTAACTTGTGCTTGAGAACTTCAGTTCCACTCCACCGGCTCGGGAGAAAATCTGCCTGAAGACGGACCAGGATCATGAAGCATATCATCCTCCATGATGATATCTGCCTGCGCTGTCCCACTGTGCAAGGTGTAGAGTGCTGCGAAAACGGAGCATTTCCATCACACAACAAGTTTTATTTCTGCTCTGTGCTCTGGGGGGACATTTGTAAATCCAATCATGACTACGATGTTCCACATAGGATGAAAAGAGAAACTGACTAAGCATGAAACTCACCAGCAAATAGGATAAAGGATATAAATAACACATTTACCCAATTGTTTTGGTACGCTAGGTATGTACCCCAATTACCCTCTTATTGAGGCTTTTGGTGACAGTGCACAGAGGGCACTATTTGCTTAATTAAATCTTAAAACAGGACTGATTTAGCATCCTTGTTTTAGACTCAACCCTCAATTAGCTTTGATTTCTCCCTCTGTCTCTGGGCAATGTTGTCTTTTTAAAGAAAAGGGAACTTGCATTTCTTCGCTGTTCCTGTTAATACCTGTGTGAAAAGTTTTCTTTGTGCAGTTTGAAACAAGTTTGATATGATCACAGTTTTCTTTGTTATAGTAAAATAGGAGTTATACTAAAGGAGTTTTAACTTTAAAAGTGAGAAAATAAATCAACGTACACACAAACAATTTCCCAGTTTCGGATCAATAAAGTACATCTATCTATCTATCTACAATCGATAAAATGATCAAAACCGCACATGGCAATATTTGTAGTTTTTCTGCGAGTTAAGAGTTCTCCTCTACTGGAAATCATGGAGAGCAGCACTGTTACGGCTACTCTTGAGTTTAACAAAGAGGTCAGAAACATCAGAGTAGTTTGTGAGGAGGAGGTCTCCGACTCGCTAAATAATAAGCACTCGCAGACGTGTATCAGTTTGACAAAAGGGATGTTGAATTTATTTAAGCGAACAAAAATATTCTCCGGGTTGACTTCAAACAACAACCACAATAAAAAACATAATTTAGCGGTAAATAAACTGTTTCACTCCTCACTTGCCTCACTCCTTCAGCACCAAGCAAAAAACAAAAGAAACCAGCTGTCCTCACTCCCTGATCGCAAGAGGAGGTAGGCCTAGCCAGGAGGAGGGACATGAACAGCAAATAAATGAATAATAATTCATTCACAATAATCATTACCCTTAGCATTTCCAAATAATTCAAATAACTATACAAAGAATCAATAGGCTCCAACAAGCACAAAAATCTGATGTATTAGAGGTTTAAAGATTCACTATCCTGAATTGGTGACCAATGCCAACACTGTAGGTCCCAGTGAACTGGCCAAGCCTGGATCAGTAAAGAAAGACATGTGTTTTGGTGGCTCAGTTTCAAAGATGTGATCTGGTTAACTGAGATTTTGCTGTGTTTTGTGTTGATAATGTGCCGGCTGCATCTTCAATCTTGCAATACTCAAGACTTCTAAACTTCAGTGAAAAGCAGAGTGAGATACAACAATGTCTAAGATCTGTGAAGTGACCCTCAGTCTCCTCTTTAGAAATCCAGTGTTGTTGACAGTGAAAGGAAGGTGAGTTCAGTCTGTACACAAGTGGTTATGTGCATCAGCTAAAGACAAACATTTGATAAGGCCCTATGATAAAACCTTATTCAACAATGCTAGCACTATCAAACAGCAGCACAAGTAGCCCCCCTAATTTAAACACTTGGCCTGGCAAAACCAGCAATGACAATGTTTATCAAGACACCTACGGCCTATTTTGTTGCTAAGGTTAACAACCCTGCTGCTTCATTTGGAGTGATGGTTTTCTGTCTCGTTAAATCCGGGTTACAAGATACAAAGAAAGACAGCATTTCAGAGTGTGACAGAGACGTTTTTAAAACAAAAAATGAAGTTCAACATGAAGCTTGAAATGACAAGCAAGTGGCAATAACTGCGAATGCCTGCCATATGTTAGCCATATGTGATAGAGGAATTAAAAGAAGAGAAAAATGATGACGTCTTGAGTTGTTTTCATGATAGTGATTTTAACACAACAGCATTGCTCTTATGTTAGATGTGACACAATGTGCTCCAGTGAAAATTTTATCCACTTTTTAGTTTAATTAGCTTTAGTTATGTTGTCACTGGGGGAAATAATTACTTCATTTTAAGTGCTAGCGGGCCTTTGCAAAGCCCATGAGAGTAGATGCAAGGAAAAACCCAATGACATGTCTGTGTTTTTGGATGCATAATAAAGACTTCAGCCTATTTATGATCACTTTAGCACAGAGATTCTGATCGTTGTCTCTTTAAGAAGTAATACTCTCAAGGACATGTTATTTGGGAAGACATATCATCTATCATTTTTCAGTCATGACATCATAAGTAGCCCTAAAAACGACTTCATTCAGTCAGGTGAAATCAATTCATACTGACCTGTATCATAATGTTCTGAATTTTAACAAAACCTCTGAATCCATCAAGGTTTGGATCAGATTGTCTTTCCTAAGAGAGACACAACTCAGCCACACATAGTTAAAAATCCAATTATCTAAAATAAAATAGATATATTGTTAGAAGCTGACAAAAGTAACATTTCAGCTCTAGATAACTTTAGGGTATTTTGGCCTTAAACTGCAGGATTATCTTCCTTTTGAGCATGCTTACTACATTACCCAGGCAGCAGGAACCTCTGTGAATTTCAGTAATGAGATTTTTAACCTGCATGCTTGTTACATTGTGTTGAAATGCTAATGGTTTTATGTGTTTGCTGATTGTATGTGTCTGTTGGAGCTATAAAACTACACAAATCAGCATTGTGCATCAGGGCTCTCAGGTGAAACAAAGGGAGGGGATCTTGGTTAAGTAACAACAGGATCAGACGTTGAGTCACAGTCTCTCCATTTCAAGGTTTACTCAGGAACTGCTGTTAGGCAAGAGATTATGGGATATTTGGTAAAAATTATAAATAGACAGTTGGCACGTCAGAAACAGGGAAAGAATTCTGATTGGTGCTGAATCCAGTCCTGAAAAAAAGGGGGAGCTAACTGAAAACCAGAAAGGTTATAAAGTTGGTAAGTTTGGTTATTGTTTTGTGCTTTACTCTGGAGACCATAGTGCTCATTACTGTCTAAATAAAAAATAACTCAAGAGACTAACTCCTTGAGTTATTTAACTTTAAAAGTCAGGTATAGAGGGGAGCTGTCCATGGTGCTGAAAACTGCCCATTGACAGACTATTGATGCTTCAGAGGTCAACTGTTTATTTTTGTTATCTCATCCACAACTAAAATCAAAATATCTTCACCTCTAAGTGCAAAACAGCCAGGCATCCACAGTAACAAACAACATCTTTTATATTTATATGCAAAAAAAGAAATCTAAAATCTTCTAGATCTTTGGAAATGAAGCAGATAAAACCATTAAACCTCTGATGTTAGGAACACAGAATACAAAAACAGATTAAGGTCTCCCTGATAGTCATACATCAAGTAATTCAGCTCAAATGTCTGGTGAAAGTTACTGAAGAGAGTCTCTGACACTGACACACAAAGTAAACATCAAAGGGAGACAGAATTACATCAACCAGAAGAGAGAAATAAGTCTGTCTAAGAGTATAACATTATCTAATCCTCTAACAAGACCTGCAAGATTCACAGAGTGAGGCAGAGGACAGGAAAGCTAGCAGTGAATAGGTAAAAGGTGATTAAAAGAGCTGATAAGTGGCATAAATCAAGAAGGCAGAGAAACACTCTTACAAAACTAGACTCAGCTGCTCATGTTGTGTTCAGGGTTCGAAAGACTCACAAGGCACTCCAAGACAAGCATGGGACATAGACTAGAAGAAATTGGTTTAGTCTTATACGGCAGCAATGACACTGAGAGGTTATCTTCTTACAGCAGCCCACTGCTTGAGAGCACACAACAGAAGGGGAGATGCACTGCAATGCAGCATTACACACACACACACACACCAAAAAAAAAAAAAAAAAAAAAAAAAACCTGCTGGGCCTCCCCCTTGTGCAGCAGTGAAGAGCCAACAAGCAAGGTGACAAAGGTTTCTGGATGAGGGCAGTTAAAGGAGAGCAATGCTCAGGTGGGGATTCTCTATGGGGACTTGGACCTGAAAACAACATCACCCCAGGGTGAGTTAGTTGACATGGTGTCAGAGCGAGTATCTGCAGCAGAAAAGCTCCCCTTATTACCCTCTGCACAAATTAACACCTTTATGTGGCACTTAAGTTCATCAGGACGTTCATCATCTTAACTCGTGAAGTTTTAATTTCTTCCATTAAATACATTTATTTGAACATTTATGCTTTTTCTATGAAGTGATTCTCTTACCAGTGTGTGCCGCAAAGAAAGTAACATGACAAAAACTGGATAAAAAGAAGAAAATAGGAGTTAAATGTAGTTTTGATTCATTTTAAAACTTCCTATTTGCTCCTTTATATTGCTGTAGTGGTGCTGAAAAGGCTGTCAGTTATACTTGACAGCTAACCAAGCAAATTGAGACCCCATAAGTTTTGTATAATGAACCTAGTAAGTGTTATCTTAATGGAGTGAACAGAGTCTGAATTATGAAAGAGATTAAAAGACGAGTAATGTTCAAATAAGATTCTGTCTTTATCAACCAGACAACTCATTTAAATTAAACATCGAAGAAAAATGAGCCTTTGGACATAAAACAGCATACTTAGAATAATATAAAACTTTGAATTGAGAAGAAAGGATTTGATTTGATTTTTATTCTATAGTTTGGTCTTCCTCCTATCTGTTAACGTTAGGGAGGCAGTTTTGCGACATATATTGCAGCCAGTTTTCTGCTTCAAACTAGACTGATATTTATGTTGTCCATCCTACATACAGTCTCTAAACTATAAAACAACACATGCACACAGAGTTTAGAGTCTGCTCCTCTCTGAACTCCTACTCCACTCTGGCTTATCAGGCTGTTAGTTAGATTTGAAACAATGACAAGTGAACTTTAAAAAAGAAGTCTAAGCCACAAAACTTTGTCTGTAACTCAAGAAGTAGGTTATCGCTCCTTGAAGCCAAAAATGTCCTCAAACATAAACGGCACAAATAAGAAGGATAAAAACACGCCAAATGTGCATTTTTCCACCAATATAACAAACTATTTACTGCTTAAAGCTGGAGGACACTTTCATTGTTGTCCTTGTAAAGTAATAGCCAACCTTGTCTAAAAAGAAACAACATTTAATTCATTCTTTATTTTTCATGCCTGCAGGACCAGCAGAGCAAAATAACAAAATAAAATAAACGTGGGCACAGTTTTGTCTCTCTCTGAATCACAACTCTATCTGGATTTTTTTGCTGTTGGGGAAGGATAAACACCGGTCATTGAACTGCTCCAGCCGTGAGTCACAGGCTACACAGGTCAGTGTTTCCATTTGTTATTTATTTATTTTGTGCGAAGGCAGAGTGGATTGACAAATGCACAAAAATGCTTCATTTTTTGGTTCGGGGAATGATCCGAAATAAAGCTGTAGAGACACGATCAGCCATACCTGCCTGGATTCGACACGGGGTCTCTTCTCCCTACAGGTGCAGAGGGGAAATTCTGTTAGTGACCACAGCGGTGGGCTCACTGCTGCTGCAGAGTGGAGGGAAATAGATTACCCTTATCGAGGTTTTCTCAGAGGATAGATGCAGCCCTGAGAGCTAATTACCCCCCGACACTATAAAAACCACTGATCCTTTACTTTTTATTATCTCTGAACTTTGATGACAAGTAGAAGTGCACTAAATGTTACAAGCCCTTCTGCTTTGCGAGGAATCATATAATCCAGTTACATGCTGTGTAGAAAGATGTGCATACAAATTCTTCCACAGGTGACAGAGAGCTGGTTCGATACCACCAAAATAATGCTTTTCACATCTCCACCAACTCCCTTAATTGTGAGTCATATTTGCAAATTCTGTCAGTCTCAATCTGTCTCTTTTTCAGCTCAACTGATCACTCTGCAACCTTTCAGACATCTGACACTGAGCGGGTCAGACTGCCAATTAAGAGGCTTTTTCCCTCTTTCTCTTAGTCTATCACTCTATCACCACATGTCTCTTCTTCATTTTTTTTGTGCAGGTCAAAATAATCCATGAAGAGCGCTTTCTGCCTCATACAGAGTCAGAAAATCCAACTGATGCATTCTTGGCATGCCTGATCGAAGATGTATTAATATTCTCGGAGAAGGCGTTTACCATTCAACTGGCTGTTTCTGCAAGTCAAAGCTCACCCTGACATACCAATCCTTTAAGCAAGACGAATTGATTAGATTGTGTGTGAAATGATTGGCATCCAGACTATCAAACACGTAACCCTCGGTGTGTAAGTTACTTAGGAGGAAACTGATTCTTCTGTAAAAATCTAACGCTCTCTTGTCTTGTCTTGAATGTTAAATACAAACTAAAACTCAAAATGGAAATCCTACTCAAAGAAATGTAGGTTCATTCAGAGACTTTGCGTAGCTTCCAACAGGAGGTCTATGACAGGATCTGTTCCTGTTGAACCATCAGGAGGGGGGAGAGAAATCTCTCGCTCAGGATGCAGGAAATGTTTGGTTTTGTTTATTCACACCTGAGCCCTGCCGCACACAGCTGAGCCATGAAATCCAGTTTCCTCTGCTGTTTACCCAGAGAAGCTTGTTGTAAGGGAAGTTTTGCAGATCAGTCTGTGCAGTTGAGTTTCCACACTTCACAGTTAGACTCCAACCAGGTGAGAGTAATAGAAAGAGGGGCTTGGAGGGAATATCCCGCTAATGGAGTCCAGACGCTGCGGGCAGTAGAACAGTGAGGACGGTGAGCCCAGTTGAAAATCTGGATGGATTTAATGAGAGGATTTCAAACACGGAGGAAGTTAAATAGCTAGTTTTGGTAAATCAGTTTTTAAACAGCCAGCTGAAGAGTGAACTTCCCCTGAGATGACTGAGGTAGTAGACAAAATAGATCTGAATGAATGCAGCGAGTAAAGATAGTCAGTCTGGTTGAACTTCATCACTAAGCCTGTAAATCTTCAGTCAGGTTCATAAAATCTCCTCAGTTCATCAGCTGAAATTAAACTCCATGAATATACCCTCAGAGTTTCAACAGATTGCAGGGATAGTGAAAGCAGATTTCATATCTAAATGTAAAATCTAATCTTCATTCTGTCATTCACATTCATCTTTGAACTGAACATCATACATGTTTCGTTTTCAAATCCAGCTTCATGTGTTGCAGCTTAAATCTCGTGGTGAGTTTTTTCTTTCTAGTAGGAGTTTGATAATGTCACAGAACACTGTGGAATCATGGGAGATGAATTCAGAGTCAAAAAAGTTGAGACTGAGTGAATGTGGATTAACAGATATATCAGACGATGTCTCTACAATCAGACAAGTATCACTGCATGGTTAAGCCTTTTGGGACTCTTATTTTCCTAACTAACGGAGGGCCTGGCTTAAATTTTTAATCTGAAATAAAACAAAGAATTACATATAAGAATATCCAACAAAAACCTCCCAAGTTGTTGACGATGATTAAGAATTAATTTTCTGTAAGTTGAGCCTAAAACCATTTCTGAATTTTCTGAGTTTGTTTCAAAAAGACCTTGACAATACTTAATGATGTTGCTCTTACTTGTGTCAATACTTATGAAATTTTACCTTTCATTGTTTTTACACTGTTATCAATAAATGACAGTATATAAAGAATGTATACAAAATTTTGTCTGTTGTGGTGGTTCATGTGTCCCCTCAGAAAAAGAAGGAAAAATCTGTTACTTGGAATTATATTACAAATTTTTTTTTTGAACATTTTTGGAAAAAAAAACGGATGTGTTGAAATGCAACTTAACACAGTATGTTACACAGTTTTGTCATTTAAGGGCATTTTATTGCTGAAGCAGTGCAAATTACAGCATACATTACATTAATTAAATATAGTTGTTGTCCTTTGATTGACTTTAAGAGGCCCACAATGGATATATAAGCAGCTTTTATTAAACAGCCCTCCCTGTTCTTCTGCATACTCATCTCATTTGAGTGAAATGAAAATAAAATCGTGTACAAAGCACATTGCCCCTGAGGGTAAGCTAAATTTAGATGATCTCATCAAGAAACGCAAACTCATACAGAGGCTGTCAACAGTGACAGTTCTGCATCTCCAAAACAACATGTTTTAGGTGGGAAAAAAACATATAAGCTTTAGAGATATAATGAAACATGTATTTGTTTACCCAATCTGAAATGTGGCAAAAATCAACTGTCCAAACTCTGCATTAGCTGTAAAGGAATCTTTCTCTCCTCCGCCTGACTCTGAACATCCATTTCACTGGCAAATTTAGGTCTTAAAGTTATATTTTTCAACTTCCCTGGTTGTTTTTTTTCTCCAGCCTGGTCTCATTCGGTGGTTTATTCTCATTTTCCCCAAAAGTCTCATCATCTAACCTGTCATCCACCCACTTTCTTTCCCACTATTCATCTTAAATCCTTTCTCTGTCTTTGTAAGAACATCTCAGTTCTCAAACTTGTTCTGACTTCAGGCTTCTTTCCTCTCCCCTCTTTGCTTGCCTTACAGCTTTAAAATGAAGTACATCACTGGTTGGACTTTTTCATCCTTTGACGTTTGATTACTCTTGTGGCTCTGACTCTTCCTCTCCTGCTCCGCCTAATACTCTCTGTAGACATCACATCGGCGCTCAAGATGGGACTTGGAGCACCCTTTTTTTCTGTTTTCCTGGGTGTGACCCAAATTGTTTTGGACAGGCACGTCACAGCTGCCTGTGCTAGAGGTCCTTTTGTTGGGCAATGATTCAGAAAGCTGGAGCTGAAAAGATTCATGCAAGCATTCAGGCACACGCAGATACAAGGATACAACAGAGCCTATTAACTGTCTCTGCTTGAGTTAAGCAGCAGGATCAGGCAGGTTTCAATGCCAGACACACACGCAACATCAGAAAAAACCTGTGCAGGGGAGAGAGGTCACAGCTTCAGCTATCAGAGCAGGACTGAGCAATGCATCTATTTGCAGAAAACATCCTCTCATTTTGATTAAAAAGCTATTTGGTTCATTTTAAATCCAGATAAGTTTGCAAATGAACACACAGTAAACTGCAGTTGTATGTTTTCAAAAGAAACACAAGTCTAAATGCAAAGAGAGGAGATAAGAAAAGAAAAGACGGAAATATTGACCAGGTGAAGAGGTGACCGTCAGGAATTGCAATGCACTTTGAATACCTAATGTCTTTGCGGGCTTTAAAGGCAGCAGCAAACTCTACCTGAGACAACATCATAGATCTTCAATATTCTTTTATCACACTCTGAGAAATAACTTTGCACACACGTACAAACACACAGAGGGTGTGAAAATCTAATCCCCACCACCTGTTACCAGAGCAGCCACCTGTGAAGATGCCTTCCTCCTGCCCTCATTTCTTTCTACAGCAAAAACAAATGAATCACTGGTGAAGGAAAGAGAGGGAAAAAGGGAGGGGAAGAAAAGGAGGAAAACAAATGAAATGTAGCCAGAGGTGCCAGGTTGGCAGCTTATCAGCATCTCAGAACTTCAAAACAACACACAAGGCTGGAGGAAGACGCAAGCTGCTGGGGACAACATATGATAATCTAGCAACTGTTGCAACAACACAGATAAACAAGCGAGAATACACAGCACAAGAAGAAGAAGATACAGCGGTAGCTAACAGACGTCTATCCAGAGCGATGGTGAACAGGGACAAGGGATTTAGATAAACATTAATGGCACTTGGCATTCATGAAACGCTTGGCATGGGTTAACTCTATTAATGGTTTGATGTCTTAACCAATCCCCCCCCATTTGAAGGCATGTGAGCACTTTTGAAGTTTTTTCTGCAGCACCAGTAATTTGAGTGCAAAGCATTAAAGCACCCTAAGCAATGCCTGTAATGACGCTCCCATTTTAAATACTCCAGCTTTTGGAACACCATCACACCCCAAAAATTTTCCTCTCTATCACCGGCCAATCAGAATCATGGAGGGGTGGAACTTCTGGTATCAAATTTGTCAACAGCAATTGCATAAGTTCATACAAGAGGAAACACATAATCATATTTTTGGGGCATATTTTTTCAATCATTTTATAATTTTCTACATTATTTTATCACTTGGAGCTGAGTATTTTATAATTTTTTTTATTTTATTTATTATTACTATTATTATTTTCTTTTCATAAAGCCTTGTTTTTTGTTTTGTTTTTTTACTTCATCATTATTTTTATCATGTTCAAATAAAGAAAGAAAAAAGAAAGAAAAGAAGAAGTATGGTTCTCACTGGGGCAAATAGCCAGTATGATTCAGAACCATAGACTCTCAGGAATTTTGCGTTTTTTTCTCCACTTCCTGAAACCAACATTGCTCAGTAGCGTTGTGAGACTCAAACAGTGTATCCCACAGGTGGGCTACGCAATCAGCTCAAACAGTGTATCCCACAGGTGAGCTATGCAATCTTCGTACACCCATAGACCGTATCAGGTGTCAATCATAGAAAACATGAACCCCCTAATAACTTTTAAAAATAGAGCTGAACAGAGAAAAGAGGACTTGAGCACAAACCAGTCTTACAGTAACTACTTGTCAACAATTTCTAAACTTCATCCACAGCTCCATAAGGATGGCTGGCAGAGGCAGGACTTATAACCTATACTGCAGCCTGTCACCAGAGGGTGCTGTTCTCGGGGTGGCTTCACCCAGTGAGGAGGCAGACGCTGTTCATTCTATACACAGTCTGTGTTCAGAACTCGTTGACCTTGCCAATGAACCAGGTGCCTCTGGTGAAATTTCACCTCAGCACTTGTAGTGTTAAACATTCTAAAATAAAGGACATAGGCCCTACCATAGAAAATAATGCTGTCAGTGGGCACAGGCCCTTCATAACACATAGGAATTAACTTTTGCCCGGGGGACCCAAGCCCCCACGCTGAGAGCCCCTGAAACAAAACTATTATTTTAGTTGAAATTTTTGTGGAACAGTCATTAAAACCAGTTTTTAATTAGCTGCAAAATTTAAGTGTGACTGATTTGTTAAAGCGTCTATTTGGTGGGAGAATTCATACATTTTCTATGAAATTAGTTCATTTTGTTTGTCAACCTTACTTGAATAGGACTTATACTTTTATCAGTATATTTTTGAATGTTTGAACTGGTTTCATTGAAAAAAAAAGGAATTGTTGAAAACTTAGAGGCAGACAGATCTGTCTTAGGATTTGCCAACTTTCCCTGTTATTCTATCACCACTTAAAGACTCAAAAGGTTTAAAACTTAGATTTTCTTTTCTGTGGAGAAGACAACAACCAACCCCTAAACTCAGCGGAAATTTTTCCTCAGAGCAAGTCAAGCTGGTACAAAGCAACAAATCACTGCAGTGGTTACAAGTGAAGCTAAAGGAAGGGTTTGTTGCTCTCTAAAAGCGAGAAGTTATTAGAGAATGTAACGGTGGATTTACAGATTGAAGCACAGTTGAACAGCCTATAACTAAGAAAAAGCACAGAGGTTAAATGAGATCTACATTACAATATCACCCTGTTGGGACCTGATTTGCTGGGGGGTGAGATTGTAACAGAAAGGTCACCAGTTTCAATCACTATTCAATGACTTTGGTAGGTAGATACTGCATCCTACAGTGGAGGTTTTTACTCCAAGTCAAGAAATAATGATTCTACCCATAGACGCAGAGGCCATAAGAGTGAGCTTATTGGGTAATAAAAAGTAAGTGGGGTGAAGGACAAAAAGAAGCCTCTTGCTGGGAGGTTGCTGCTTCTCTCCCTGCAGATAAAGTTGTTATGATAATCTCTGAAAAGTCACCTTTTTCGTGTCCTAAAGGGTTGTGGATTTTGCTTTTTTGAGCATCCCGGATGATGAGATAAATATAAGCATAAGATAGAATAGCGTCTGATCGGTTTTAAGCAGATAATAGATGCTCGGTAGTGTTCATGAGCAAGTCAAGGCCACGCTTGTATAAACAGTTAGTCACAGATAAAAGAATAGTTTGCTTGTCACTGAAAAAATCCGCTTGTAATGCAATATAAAACACTTCCCTCAGACTGTTCTTTATCTTTGATGAGATAGCCTGAGCACAAAGCTGCCACATTGAATCTTAAACCTTCTTACTTTATCGTGAGGGCTGCTGTTTCTTCCTCTATGCCCACAGGTAGAAGCTATCGATTTGTGCCACAGGTCAAATATCAAACAATGGGATTATGTTTCAACGAGATCAACAGAAAATTATAAATCAGGTCAAAAAACAGCATTATTTATACAGACAATAAAGCTTAGAGACCGCACTGTGAGGACATGAGAGGAACCTAGAATTAGCTGTGAACTCTGCTATGTCTCAAAACAAGAAACAACAGCTGTTAAAGCCAAACAACCAGGGCTGATTCTACCAGAATTTTATTCTAGAACTTTATTGTACTCCACAAAGGGGCCATACAAATCTAAACAACAGTGATTAAACTCCCCAAACCAAAGCAGTCACCTTATAGGGGAGAATGGGGTAAGATGAGCCATTTTTCATATTTCGGATCACTACATCAAGGCAATCATAGTTTTGTCTGTAACTCGTGTATCTGCATATATTTCAAGATGTTGTTCATCCCTGCAAACCAACAGAATGAATGTAAACATAAATGTATTGATAATATAGAACCCCCCCCCCCCACCCCAGCCCTCCCTCACCTTCTCTCTCCCTAAATAACAGTCATTTCTTCACATTCATGTGTATTTTTATCTATTTTACACTACTCAACTGGTACAATAATTATTTTTATTATTATTGCATATAACTGCTAAAAAGCTGTTTTGTAAAAAGTCATTTTCACATGAGAATGTCTTTAAGTGATTCAGAACATTCACAGCTGTATTTTTGAAAAGAAAAAGTAAAACATTTCAACAATCTGAACTGAAACTCTGATCTTCTCATCAGACTCCTTTACTTTCTCAGTTGAGCCACTGGCTCAACTTACCCCAGAACTACTATTATGACTTTATTAGTCATCTAAGCTAAAATAATGGACTTTTATGCTAGGTTTTCGACCTCATGTTGTAGCTCATAGATACCACAATTGATGTATAAAACAAATTTAAAATGATCATTTTTGGTCTGAACACAATTCTAATCAAACCTACGACAGACTAAATTCACTTTCAAGAGTGAAAAATGTTTTTTTGTAAATAAAAGTCTAACCCCTTCACCCATGTGCTTCAAACCTTCACAGACTCCATAAATTGATTGCCCATCTCCTAAATATTTGGTCACATGATCAATTTCATATACCATTTCCAAGCAACAGGGGGTGGCTCAACTTACCCTTTGGCTAAACTTACCCCACTCTCCCCTATTGCAATGCTAACTGACATCAGGGTGTGCTACATAGTTTCAGGCAGTCAAACAGACAACAACTTTATGTCCTACATTATTTAAAAATAATCTCACACAGAGGACTTCTCCGGGATGCCAACAGGTTAATCACCGCTTCATTAAAGTCGAGTGGTTTTTGGACAAAGTCCTGCTCAACAGGCCGTGGATTATGGAGAAATAATCTTCAACTCACCGACTTTGTGTGTAACACAGTCCACCATCCTTGACAGCACCGTCCTGTTCTTTCTTTACCAGTCTGTTTTGTTTCAATGTGAAGATTCGATGACTCTCAGATTAGTCCAAAAATCCTTGTAGTTTCCAAGACATTTCCGCCAAACAGCAACACCGGAAGCAGACAAATGAACTCCAATCAACATTTGACAACGGTTTCCCACGAATATCCTGTAATTTTGATTCCATAATAATATCTCACTGTTTTTATGAATCAGGTTTGAGGATATCAGCATTTACTTTGTATTTTTTATGAAACTTTTAAAGCACAGAAACTTTAAACAGTTCATCGACTGCGCACCGCCCAGTGTGCGAATGGAAAACTCATCCGCATATTCGCCAGACTGAGGCTCCCTTCAAGAACTTGACACAATAACGAAAATAATAAGTCTTAAAGAGGTTAACATCGACATCAAACCCGTTTTAAAAATGGAAACCAGTAAAAGCAATGACTTTACATCTTTGGACAAGTTTTCTTTGGAGAGCAATGTGGCTGAACTAATGCGCAGCGTAAATGTGACGGGAAACCGTCGCTAGTTTTCAATCCGCCACCAACCTGTCAGGACAATATTTGGATGTTTGGACACGGTAGAAAGGGGTGTTTATCCCCAACAGTTTGGAAAAACAACAACAAAGCGGTCAAATGTTGCAGTTGGACACATAACTTCGTGATTTCAGACCTTGGAGACCTCAGGTAAGCTGAACTTTTGCGCATGTTGTCAGTGTTGTGTGTTGTGTTCACTTGAGTGTGGGCCGCCGTGCCACAGTGTTTGTGTGCAAGTGTAAAGTCATTTCAACGGGTTTCATGTCCTGTAATGATTCTTCTGTTTGACTCTGTGGCACTTTGATGTCGACACTAAGTGCAAAGGTGAAGTGCGTATGAATGAATTCATCCATGATGAGATCCTGCAGCTCTTTACAGTGAGTCTGCCTTTATTTTGCACAAATGCTTTTGATCAGGATCATTATAAAAAATCAGATGATGCGATGTAAGGAAAGCCAGACATGGTACCTTACAGATTATAGATCATATCAATGCTGCATGGCTCATAACCTAGAGTCTATAAGATTTTTCTCATTTGCTTTATACTTTATGGACATTACAAGCAGCAGATGTGATTGTTGCCCCTGCTGAAATCCTAAGAGCTGTTTAAAAAAATAATTCATTTATGTCCCATTATCTCAGCTGCATTTGCCACATTGTATTGATAACAGATTTTTTTCTTTAATGGCGTCACTAATGTTTGCCATTTTGTCTTTGGCTTACTCAAATACACAAGAGAGGAGCATGCCTGTCTTTACAATACAGCAGGTCATCTTTATTCTCCCGTGCTGCTGACCTGTCAGGGAGAGAAATGGGGGGAAAAAAAGAAAAGTTGTTGACAGCATTTTAATGGGTGAGAGATGAGCAAAGTGGAGTGAGAGTAAAAAATGAGATCGGTAGATTTGACTGACAAACACACCCCACACACTCGGTGAGAAAATAAGTGTTGTCAGCAGTGTGGGGGAAGTAATATTTAATCTGTATGATATATGACAGCATCTGATCCCAGAGATCCTGCATCCCGATGCGTTATGTTGAAATTATTTACCAAGTCATTCAAAACAGAGGCGAGAGTTTGAGCTAAAGAAGTAGAAGAAAGGTCGTTTCCATTACATATTTAAGTATTTTTGATTCAAGATAACCAATGAGTTTTTAGGGAGAAAATGAGGGCAAGAAGGAGAACATTGTCTTTTTCCATTTAAAGTCCTTACTGGCAATCACTGGACACACATTAGGAGTACAAATGTCCAAAACTTTTGTCACTGGTGGTCTCATCTTTGAATGTCTGGAATGTGGTGAAAATTACACCAAATTTCTGTCATAACCTGCTTTATCTTTGGGTTTTCTCTGGTAAATTTTGTATAGTTCTCAAATGCCTGTCGAAATGTCACTACGAGACTCTCTGTTTCTGTTCTTCTCCTTCAACTGGTGAATTTTATGCAGCCACTCTCTAAATGTAAAAACTAGGAGTCCACCAGTATTGCTTGGTAAGAGCTAATACAAATACGAATTATCGTTAGTTCACTAGTTTTGTGTCGTTCGTGAACGATTTGTTCAAAAGAACTGAATCTTTTAAGTGAACGTACTGAACCGAATCACTTCCTCAAGTGATTTGCTCGTTTCTCCCTTCAGTTGAGCTGTCAGCAGGGCAGATGCTATAGCTCACAGCATTGCCAGGCAAGCTGCTGGCAAACAAGGGATCGCATGCACCAATTCATTTTTGTAGGACAAAAATAACTTTTTTTATTTTTTACTGCTAAATTGCCACCACAACAACTTGCATACAATAGGACACAGCATGGAACAAGTAGTGCACAAAACCTGCTGCATCCTATTATTGCCACGGTTTGCGAGGGAACGGTACATGTTCAGTGTGAATTCTTCTAAACCTTTAGTAAACGAATCACTCATTGAGCCCAATTTTCTGAGCAGACCTGATAAATAGCTTACCATAGGACAGTACACTTAAAACATCATGACTTATAAACAAGTTCATTTTTACAAACCTGTTGCCAAAGCAACACAGCCAAACACTCTTGTCACCCGGTCCCAGAAGCTATGAATTGAACTGAATCCTGAACTGTTCAGTGGTATATCAGTTCAGGAGGTCGGAGTCGCTGGCTCCTCCCACCAAGCGCTGAACTATTCGGTGATTTGATGAACGAATCTTTTGAACGAATATTTTTAGTGAACAGATTCTAGTGATTCAGTACATCTAAAAGAACTGCCGTGCCCATCATGATAGTTCACAATAGGAATAACCGACTCATGCATTGATAGTAGAAATGACAACAGTCAGTCAAATCTAAAACTTTTAGCAAATATTAAACCAAAAATGAAACATTTTACATCTTACGGGAAGCAGGAACGCTACTAGATGGTAAAGCGTAATATGTTGACTGACCATGAAAGTATGCAGTTCACAGAGCAGAGCCAACATCAGTTCAGAGCTGTTAACACGTCCCAAATCAAGAGAGCGATCCTGTTTCTCTTTACTCACTCTCATCCACTCCCTTAACTTAGACAGCCTGGCTCTCTGAAAACCAAACACATAATTATAGTTTTCACTGAACAAAGACAGGGAGGAATTAATTAGGCAGCGTTCAGGTTGGTAAAACACTTCTCCCTCACAGCATCACTCTCTCTTTCTTCCATCATCTGGTCTTAAAGTAATGAAGGAGAGGGTGAGATAAAGAGGCTTTTCTTCGGCAGAGGCTTTTCTTTTGTGTTATTAGCTAAATGTGCTTGATGGATGTCAGGATCCATATTAATACTTTGTTATCAGTGCGTGATTAGAGAAGACACTTGAAGGCAGACTAGTTTGCATGCAGGCGTTTGTGTGTGGATTACTAATTACTCTCATAAAGCTTAAATTTACTGCTTCATTATTATATTATTTGGTTGATTATAAAATATAAAGCAGGTTCAGCATTTTTCTTTCTTAATTTTCCATTTGCACCGTGGTCTATTTGTACACATCAAAAAAGAAAAAAAAAAAAACTCACAGGAAAACACAGGGGAGCTTACTGCACCTGTCTTTTTGCAGACAGCCATGAAACAAAGGAAGTTAGTGATAACAGAAATGGAGGAATTACCTTAACGAGGAATGGTTAGGAGAGAGCATTGCTGAACTTGAACATATTGGACAGCTCTCCTATTTCTCTCTGATTAAAAGCCGCCCCCACGGCTCACAAAGTCAGAATACTGATTGAGCTAAAAATCAAATTAGATGCCCATTGGTCAAGATTAGTGCTGTCATAAAGAGAGAACAGTTAATCAGCCAGTGTCAGTTATTTCTTGAGGAGAAGTAAACATTATCAGAGTTGTTTGTGGAGAAACAAATAGTAAAAACTCTGGATGCCACTTTTATTTTATCATTTTTTCAGCCATATATGTTTAGGTTTAATGACAGAGGGGGAAGTTGTATGTTTGTTTGAAGAGGTCAAAGGTCATGAAAGCTACAACTGAAAAGCTGCCGCCTCCATTTCCATGCTGGAAAGGTGATGTATTGTTATTGATTTTTTTTAACAAGGGTCATGCCAGATAACAATGGTGAAAATAGAAGGAGATACATTAAGACTGTTTGACCTGTTTGTCATCTGCAATGGTCGCAATGGTAGTGGTATTACTGCTCATCTGAAGCTGGTCGATAAATACAAATTCAAATTCAACTTTATTTATATGGCATTTTTCAAATATAGATGTAGTTCAAAGTGCCTCACAGAGGCTAAAAACAACATTAAAACCAGACCCTCCCACCCACACACATACCCATAGACCCACACACACACACAAGGACACACACCCACCCTCACCCACCCACACATACACACACAAGCGCACACACTAGCGTACACAGAGTAAAAATTTAAGACATATTGTCAGAGAGACATGGCTTGACACTGAGACATTGGGTGAGGAGAGCTACATTTGGGAAACACTGGAGATAAAAATATTAAAAATGGTACAAAAAGAGTAAAACTTGATGGACTAAGACAAGAATGTAGAATGAAAGTAAGAGAAATAAACATGAAGAACTTTGATTAAAATGAACAGTAGCGATAAGAGAAATAAGAAAAATCATCAGTGAAGAGCCCGGTTAAAAAGGTGAGTCTGGAGCCTCGTCCTAAAAACATCACAGATAGTGAGATAAATGGATCATTGCTTTTTTGTCAAAACATAATATTGCGAACATCTTTAAAAATAGTACAAATAAGTCTTATAATGAAATACACTCACCGGCCACTTTATTAGGTATACCTGTCCAACTGCTCGTTAACACTTAATTTCTAATCAGCCAATCACATGGCGGCAACTTAGTGCATTTAGGCATGTAGACATGGTCAAGACAATCTCCTGCAGTTCAAACCGAGCATCAGTATGGGGAAGAAAGGTGATTTGAGTGACTTTGAACGTGGCATGGTTGTTGGTGCCAGAAGGGCTGGTCTGAGTATTTCAGAAACTGCTGATCTACTGGGATTTTCACGCACAACCATCTCTAGGGTTTACAGAGAATGGTCCGAAAAAGAAAAAATATCCAGTGAGCGGCAGTTCTGTGGGCGGAAATGCCTTGTTGATGCCAGAGGTCAGAGGAGAATGGCCAGACTGGTTCGAGCTGATAGAAAGGCAACAGTGACTCAAATAACCACCCGTTACAACCAAGGTAGGCAGAAGAGCATCTCTGAACGCACAGTACGTTGAACTTTGAGGCAGATGGGCTACAGCAGCAGAAGACCACACCGGGTGCCACTCCTTTCAGCTAAGAACAGGAAACTGAGGCTACAATTTGCACAAGCTCATCGAAATTGGACAATAGAAGATTGGAAAAACGTTGCCTGGTCTGATGAGTCTCGATTTCTGCTGCGACATTCGGATGGTAGGGTCAGAATTTGGCGTCAACAACATGAAAGCATGGATCCATCCTGCCTTGTATCAACGGTTCAGGCTGGTGGTGGTGGTGTCATGGTGTGGGGAATATTTTCTTGGCACTCTTTGGGCCCCTTGGTACCAATTGAGCATCGTTGCAACGCCACAGCCTACCTGAGTATTGTTGCTGACCATGTCCATCTCTTTATGACCCCAATGTACCCAACTTCTGATGGCTACTTTCAGCAGGATAATGCGCCATGTCATAAAGCTGGAATCATCTCAGACTGGTTTCTTGAACATGACAATGAGTTCACTGTACTCAAATGGCCTCCACAGTCACCAGATCTCAATCCAATAGAGCATCTTTGGGATGTGGTGGAACGGGAGATTCGCATTATGGATGTGTAGCCGACAAATCTGCGGCAACTGTGTGATGCCATCATGTCAATATGGACCAAGCTCTCTGAGGAATGCTTCCAGCACCTTGTTGAATCTATGCCACGAAGAATTGAGGCAGTTCTGAAGGCAAAAGGGGGTCCAACCCGTTACTAGCATGGTGTACCTAATAAAGTGGCCGGTGAGTGTATAAGATTATTGAACATTGATTGCTCATAATCCCTTTGTGTGTATTTGGCTCATTGTCTCTGCAGTGTCTTAGCTCTGAGGTGGATGTTATAAACAGATAATTTTTTCTTCTCTTTCTGTCAGGAATGTGTTACAATGTCATAAGCAGAGGCGGTCAGTATATAGACAACCAGTTTCCCAAACAAGATAATCCTCTGTATCCTTGTCTCAGTAGGTAGCGCCGTGTGTGTGCATGTGTGTGTTCACGGATATCAGATGGAGGTTCATTGGCTTGGCTTCACTGCTCAGGGTTTTCCCTTTCATTTGTAGTCAATACAGGAATGAATCTCTGCTTGCTTTCCATATCACCTCCCACACATGTCAAATATAAAGCATGCATACATTAATTCCAATGATATTAGTACAGGTGCCAGTCCATGTCACTGATACTGAGCAAATACAGTTACACACACACACACACGCACATACACACATGCCCTCACACATATACATAAGAGAAAACAGTCATGCCTGATACTGCTTCATGTGGAAGAGAGGAAACCAGGAACCATTACAATCTTTTCTTCTAGTGTCCACTGCTTTTGGATTATATTTCTCCTCAGATAATCTCTCCATCCACTGAAATCCTGTTTTCATGACAAACGTTTGGACACACACACTCCCGCACTCTGTCAATGCTCTCTGTAGCTGCTGAGGAGGAGAGAGGAGGAAGCTCTGAGAAGGGAGGTGACAAAAGTGATGAAATGCAGGACAGTTAGAGGGATTGTGTGTGTGTGTGTGTGTGTGTGTGTGTGTGTGTGTGAGATTTGGAATGTAATATTTCAAAATTCCAGCCGTGTCAAACTAATGTTGGATATAGCTCTGAATATAGCCAACTGCCTAATTACCAACATTTACCTGCAATAACACAAAAAAGTTATGCTATAATCCAACCTGTATTTGGAAGCACAAATGTTGCATTTACTCGCTTAATTCATGTAAAGGACCTTTTTCTATTTACGTGTTTTTATTGCGTTATTCATGTATAACGTCACTCTGCTTGATACGCCACCTCATAAGCATCGCCCGACAAGAACGAGAGTCTAATTGTGTCTTTACATTGACTTTACATTTAATTCCATCCATCCATTTACTATCGCTTATTCCCGTTCCCGGGGTCGCGGGTGGGCTGGAGCCTATCCCAGCATCTTCAGGCGAAGGCAGGGGACACCCTGGACAAGTCGCCAGTTCATCGCAGGGCTGACATATAGAGACAAACAACCATCCACACTCACATTCACACCTACGAGCAATCTGGAAGTGGCCAATTAGCCTAACCCCACTTAGGCATGTTTTTGGGATGTGGGAGGAAACCGGAGTACCCGGAGTAAACCCACGCAGACACAGGGAGAACATGCAAACTCCACACAGAAATTCCCTGACCCGGATTCAAACCCAGGACCTTCTTGCTGTGAGGCAACAGTGCTAACCACTACACCACTGTGCCGCCCCCTTTACATTTAATTGACTTACTAAAAAAAAAAATCCAAATGGATGTAGAAAAAAGTGAACACTTGGCATAGCAGAACATAATACTGATGATGATATTAAAACAGAAACACCACCTATTCCTACATTGTACCACTTTTGAAAGCTTCAAATAACTATTCTTTCAACGAGAAATTAGATAACCATGACCTGGCTAAATTAGAATCTACTCAGACATCTGAAAACTAATTCTGTAAAGTGTGTGTCTTGGAAAAATAAACTCTCAGACATAAATGAGATGATAAGGACAAACCATGTTGACAGGAACTGTATTTGAAAAATATTGTTTTGTATCTCAGAGGTTGGCTCACTGTAAGAAGCAATGGTGAAAAATGAAGAATGCAGAACCTTTCGTTCCCTTTTTAAAGTATGTCATGCAATCATCTGGTAGCTACTGGTGCAGCTTTTGTGGAGAGAGTAAAGAGGAGGTCCCCCATCAGTGCAATCAGTCCAGTTCTTTGAGGTTTGCTACCTCTTTTTTTTTTTGGCTAATACTTGTCAAACACTAGAAATGGCTCTCTGCTGAACACACACTGGTACAAAAACACATTTTTACAGAGCAAGTGTGGAGTGGGTCTGAAACAGATCTTGGGGTGATTAGATGCGGCTCTTCTGCCAACCTTATACATATTTGACTAAAGGAATATGTAGATAGAAGTTGTTGACTGAGAACATGTTTTTGAAAGTATTTCCAAGAAAGCCATCACTGATGTTTCCTCCTCTATAAAAGTGTCAGGTAGAATAATCAGATTTCCCAAATCTCCATGCAACTAAATCTGTGGTTATGTGACGTGTGTGTTAGTACAGGAACAGATGGAAAGTAGGCGAGTGCTGAAAACAGCTGGTGGTTTCTAATCTTTGTCACAGTCTCACATATTTTGATGTGTTACTGCTTTTGAACAGTCTCTTTTTTGTAAACAGGCTGATCCTCTTTCATGTACGGACAAACCAGATGTTAGTTCAAATTTAATCCTTTTTAAATGTTGTGTGAAAGTGTGTGTCTTTATTTCAGTGCTGACAACCATGTAGTGCTCGTACTATGGTAGTAACCAGGTGGGTTGTTTGTTTTCTGTATCACAGATCACATGCACACATTTATGCAGACCGTATATGTGCTTAAGGATGTGGTCATTGTTAGATAGATTTTTTGTCCCTCTCAAAGGTGGTTTCCATAGCTGTTAAAGTCCCATATTGGATTGCATTCATAGATCTTGTTAAATGTTCATGGTTGTTTGAACTCAGCTCTCCATGATTTCCATTTTTATTTTCAAGCTTATCCAGGACAAAGGTTGCAAATTAGAAACCTGAATGCATGAAATATAACTTTTATATTTGTATTTGATCTTTTTGTCTTGTTAGTTCTTTTTATCTGTGTGTCTACCCAAAAAGATCAAGATGAGGCCTACATGGATAGGCACTTAAAGGAAGACTACATAGATAAAGACGTAAGGTTAAACTAGGGGTGTCCTGATATGATATTGATATCGGATATTGGTCGGATATCAACAAAAAATCAAATACCGGATTATAGATATATCAGAGATATCTAAAATCTCTGATATCAGCACTCCTATACAAGCAGTCCATTCCAGACTCCGCTCCAGCACCTCTGTCCAGCAGCGCCCAGATCCAGCATGTAGAGCCAACGTAATCACAACAACAGTGTGTACTAAGGTAGGAACAAAATACCAAGGAGTAGGAGTGATCTTGGCCCTATGGCAGTATTTTTCATTTAAGTCCGAAAAAGACGTTGCAGCTGAGTGCAAAACTTGTCATGCACAAGTTTGTGCTAACATCTAGTGTTGGTATCAATATTGGTATTGGCCAATATTGTAGGCTACAAATTGTTTTATCGGGACACCCCTGGGTTGAACACACGTTTCACATCAGCAAGTAGTGGTGCACCCAACCCTAGTCAAAGGGCACCACAACTACTGTATTACCGTTTTTAAATTGTCAAACACCACCATCCGTGGTCCTTACACATCGTCACACTATTTGAAAACCTTGAGCTTTTGTTGCTGCTGTTGCATCCCCATCACCGGCTAAATGAGTCCATGGCGTTTGGCAGCCTCTGAAACAAATCCCTCAGCATTCTCTCTTCATCGTCTCTCTTTAGCTTTACTGATGTTGTTGTTGGCTCGCTGTAGCAATGAAAAGGTCTCTGGGAAATTGAATGGGTCCCCAGATAATGTGTTTGATTATGGTATGTTTTGGTGTGATAATAATAAATGAATGTAATAGTGTCCCAAATATATCTGCAAATAAATGAAAGTATGCAAATCTGAAAGTTAATTAGAAAGAAACTGTATGAAAATGAAAATACAAAAATTTAAATGAAAGTGGTTCTCTTGTTACATAAATAGCACCAAAGTAAATAATCAAATAAAACAGAGGTGAGTATATGCAGTGTTTTAGCTGTTTTTTTTGGTAGCAGTATTGAAACATTTTCCTCTCTGCTTATCCAGAAATAAACAGGATCTTGCTTGTAACCGACTCGAGAAGAGCAGAATGATCTTTTACATATGAGACTACTTACTCATTGTGCTAAAGACAGGATCAAGAAAGAGACAAGACACACTGCTTTGTTTGTGGGGACTGAAAATAGCAGCACCAATCTAAAGTTTTACTGTCTTGCTTGGCCATTATTTCTTTAGCAAACTTGCATCAGACATTTTGTGAACCATAATTCAAGCCGGTCTGCCTGATGCTTTTTTTACTGCTTCACTTCAGTAATGGCCCTCGCCAGATTGTCCTGAGTGTATGATTTAAACTCCGTTCAAAATAGCCATTCAACAGATCAGGCAGAATAATAAATCAGATGCACCCACCCCAGCACTTTGTGTGTTTTCGGTAGAGGCTATTTGCTGTCACAGGATTAGTCCATCATTAAACAATGGTGCCACATCTGTTTTTCAGCCTCTCTTATTGTGGTTAAAATTGAATCGAACATTTTGCTGGAAAGACCATCAGACAAAAACAAACGGCACTCAGCAAAGTGAAGCACAGTAATAGTTTGATAATGTGAGCGTGCACTGGCAAATTAGCTCATAAAGTTAGCATGCTAATGTTCAAATGTTCAGGATTCTATAC